AAGTGTTCAAGTGATATAGTTTTTGTTATTTGGTAAAGCTCTTTGTGTTTTTGTAATGCCACTAAGAAAACACATGATCCACATTTTTACAGAACATGAAAGTGACAATAATAAATTTATTACAATCATATCTTTCATTACATTCTATGCCAAATGTTTGCATGGAACGACTTACAGGATCCATCTCTGTGGAAAAATGGTGCAAAATCTTTTTTCCAGTTCTGGTGCCAACAAAAGGTTGTTCCTGGATATAATAATAATTCTTTTTTTTAATCTGACAATAGCCTAGTAGCCAGATAGCAAAGGCTAGATACTAGAATCTCAGACTCAGTGGAAACAAGGTCAGAACAAGACAAAATATCCCTAGAGCTGGACAGCAGAATGAGAACAATCTACCCCTGTAGATTTAATAAAGTATTCAGTTCAAAATTCCTTGAAGGTTACCTGGATCAACACAGCTAAAAAAGGCTGGAGAACACAATGGCTGAAACATTGTGATTATTACAATAATGTAAATAAGCTTGTAGATTGAGTGATCATGGTTAAATGTAAATAAATGGCATAACTGCCCAACAAACAGAATTGACAAAGTTTGTAATAAACAATAACAAGAAAAGAACAGGGCAAAAACAATATAAAGCAAACAAACAATATATGCAAGTCAAGGCAAGGCAATATTAATAAGGCAAATTAACAGTAATAAGGCAAAGCAACAGTAATAAGGCAAAGCAACTGTAGTATGGCAAAAAGTTCACAAACTAAGAATTGGAGTTGACATGCAAAGGTAAGTTTGGATGAACAAACGCAGCATTCTTACTTCAAGACAAAACAAGACAGGCCGGGACTGAGTCATATGAAACCAAGAACTAGCCTATTTTATTGGTTAGGAAGAAATACCAGCATGCATTTTTGTGCTTCTGCCTATAAATTGGGGAGGGAAAAATGTTTTACACTCATTTCCTAAAGGATTGAAACCAACAAATGTAAATAATGATAACTCCTCATAGTAGAAAATTAAACAGAGATGTGTTTCTTTTTTAACTGTTATATATTCATGTTTTTGGTTACAGATTTTCACTGTTGCAGAGTTGGGTTATAGATAATATTTAATAATATTAGTTTTGATTGTGTTATAACTATGATTGAGACACACATGTGGAAAATGGGATTTTATCTTCATCTCCACTGTTTCTGTTTTATAGCTGGTGAATGTGTCCTTTAAAGTCTTTTAAGTACTAATCACTTTCACAGAAGGGAAACAGAAAAGTAAATGAGTGGATGGGGACTTTTGAGACCAAGTGATAGTAAAACCAGAAACAAGGTGTATCCAGTTGCTGGTTTATATGAACAGTCATGGTTGGGAGAGGAAACTAGTTCTGGACTACCCTTGAGAACAACACTACTGTCCTTGAGTAGTTCTAATGCCATTTGTTTGTATTGCCAGCCACATTTCAGGATATTAAATGACAACAGTAAGGTCTCTGATCAGGAGGTTTTGAGGAGCATGCTGGTGGTATGCTCCTCAGACAATTGCTGGTGGTCCAAGGCTCTCCCTGACCCAGGATAGTAGCACCTGTTAGAGTCTCAGCTATGGGTAAATAGTTAACCCCCAAACTGGAATCAAAACACTATGAAAGTGTAAAAATAGGTTTTAATACAAGAAATACTTTTTTAAAAATTATTACCAGGAATAAATTTCTGAAGAAAAATTAATACCAGCAATACATTTTTGAAAAAATTACCTGCTATACATTTAAAAAAAAAAAGTATTACCAGCAATAAAAATCTTGTTGGCATTAAATAACCCATTGAGGTGGATAAGCCATAAAGCAAAAAAAAAAACCAAACCTAAATGTATAATTACTTAACATATTTTTACTGTGTAACAAAACAAAAATATGAGACTCATCAAAAAATCCGCCCTTTACGTTTGACCAATGAAAGCAAATAATATAATTGTAATGTCTTGCCATTCCTCTTTTAATAGTGTTATTACTTGATTGCCACTTTTTGACTCTGTGGTCCAATTTATCCCAAGCTAATTCAATGAGTTTGCAGTCAGGTGATTGGGGTGACCATTCTGTAGGATTGAGTGATATCCATGTTGATTCAATATTCCTGGGTCCCAATAAATATTGCCAACTGTATTGCCTGCAAAACAATTCCAGATCATCACATTTCTTTCACCATGCTTTACAGTTGGTACAATACAAGGAGTAATCTCATTAGTTCTTCACCTCACATACACTAGCCTTCTCAATCCAAAGATCTCAAACTTAGATTCATGAGTCCAGAGAACTCATTTCCATTGATCCAGTCCAGTTTTGATGTTTTTTTTTTACCTATATGAGTTACTTGTGTTTATTTGCCAATCTAAGCAGTGGTTTTCTTGCAGCACAACAACCATTTAGACCTGCTGCAGTGAGTCTTCTCCTGGCTGTTGATGCAGACACATTAGTTCTGCTGGTTTCACTTACTCATGCAGCAATGTGAGGGACAGTCAGATTCCTGTTTCAAAGACTGGTAATTCTAATGAACTTATCTTGTGATTTGGAAGTGGACCTGACTGCTATTTTTTATGTCATTATTTTTACCTGTTTCCACATTTCTCACAATAACGGAGCAAACTGCAGTGTATGAAACTTTAACTTTTTGGGCTATATCTCGGAAACTATAGCCTTCACAATGTAATGTGATGATGGTTTGCCTCTTCTCAGGTGACAAATTACACTTCTTGCCCATATTAAGACTGAATCTGAAAAATTGAAATTATTATTAATATTTTAATAATTGAACCTGAAACATATAATACCAATTATGAAGCATATATTTAGTGGTGTTTATTCATCTGACAACACATAAGGAGTGTCAATAGTGACTCTGGACTCCATTGTTGCAAAATAGAGGACTCTAAAACAATTTAGAGTCAGCCTCCTCACACTTGACATACCAGCTAAACGAGGTACTGCATTAAAAAAAAAATGTTATTTCATATCCAATATAGCCAAACCTTGTGCAATGTGTTATTTCAAGTAATTTTACCCCCTAACTATTTATATTTATAAAATTGAACATAAAAGTCAACTTTGAAACATAATTTTGTAAGTGATCTTAAACTTATGAAGGATAGTGTATATGTATATACAGGGTGCAATGGATAAATTGTCATCTCATTTTAACAGATATATTTACCAAAATTACACAAAAATATCTTGAAATACTAAAGAGTAAATTTATTCAATAAAATTGTGATTGGCTTCACCACAGCCTCCAGACAACTTCAGAATCTCCTGCAACTTTTCTGGATGGTCTCCTTGATCAAGTTGGTGAATGCTGCCATAATCCTTGCCTTCAGTTCATCTTTGTTAGGTGGCCAGATGTAAGAAGTAATGTGGTCATAGAAATTGTCTGATAGCCATGAATGGGTTCTCCTTGTGTGGCATGGTACAGAGTACTGTTGCCAGACATAGTGTCTTCTAGCAGCCACCCTCTTGACCCAGGGCAGCATTACCTCCACAAGGCATGTGACTTAGGCCTCCATGTTGTGTCTGAGGCCCTGTGGGAAGATGAATGGAGACACAATGTCACTATCACTAGTGATCACTCCAAACACCTTTGTAATCATCATTACGCTCATCCAACTTAAGTATTAAGTGTAATGGCCACCACGTGCAGGATTCAATTGTGGCAGCACTACAATTTATATTGACGATATTTCCAACGTACAGGATTCAAGTAAACAACAATAACTCCAAATTGTTAATCAACAAATATATATTGAAACAACATATAAGAGCAAACATGCAATAAAATTGTTTTCAATGTATAGTTTAAGGGAAAAAAGTTATTCCCCTTTAACTGTAGAATGATTTGTAATTAATTGTTCAAAGAAAGTTCTCTTGAGAGAAAAGTGTTCAGAAATCAATATTAGAGCAAGTATACATGTTAAGAATAAATAACACAAGAATACAATTAATTAAAAATGTGTTGTGTTATTGAATAAACAGATTTCTGGTTGATTGAACTTGGCAAAGTCACAGATAGAAATGTAAGTTTATATTACGAAATTCTGTGTGTGTTTGAAATGTGATGCGTAAGATCGTGGATTTGTGATGATGGCTGGAATCTTCCGGGATCTTACTGATGACTTGTGAAAAGTCGCCCCTTTTAAGAAAAAAGGGTAGGCTCCCATGGAAACGTGGGAAAACTTAATTTTGCATTAAAATATGTGATTGGTTAAAAATTAACCAATCACTACACTCGTACTAACAGAACAGGCAAGCAAGCTCAAAACCAAAGGATTCAAAGAAACAATTGCGATGGCTAAATTGTCCTATATAAAGGTAGTAGTGATTTATTAGCCAATCACAGGCGAATAAAGTGCGGGTGTGGAAAAAAAATAGCAACCGTTACAATAGCAAAATAGAGTAAAATAAAAAGACCGTATTGCACCAATCTTCCAAATAAGGATAGCCTGCTTGCTTCGACATTCCCAATCCTCGCATTTTCGCCTAAGCTTGAACACTAACCTCCGTCACCTGGAGAAATATGTAATAATTATTTATCACACCCTAAACTGACTAAAAACATACACCAATTCTTTCTTTAAGAAAATATAACATTATGATTATATTTCAAAATTCAATATTCTTTGATATCGGATGGATTTATCAATAACAAGAAATTAAATCTTGTGTGGCTGGAAATTCCCTTGGCTGCAGGGGAAAGTTTGATATGTGATAAAAAAAAAAATTAAAATGTTCTAAGTCGAGTACCCCAACCTAGACAAAACAAAAAAAAAAATGCACTAAGGGAGATAACTGTACGTCGTTTGGATTATTCATAGATTTGATCCACTTTAACATCTCTTTTTTTTTTTTATCGATTATCTTAATGAGAAACGATCGACCAGGGCTTTAATCCATTTGGGGAAGCTTCAGAGTTATCAAAAACGTTAAAGTGCCCCCCGCTGTCTCCATAGTAACGGGGACAATTACAAGATGGCGTCCGACAACATGTGGGAAGATGTTGACATCAAGTTTGACATCACCGCTTCGTAAGTAAAGTATATCTATTTTATTCAATTGATTAATTCAATTAAAGTTTATATTACAAAGTTTATTTTTCCAAAGCATCAAAATTTAACCACTCTTGAGTATTTTTCCCTTTAATTTTACTATTTAGGAAAATAAAAAGTTAACTTTTTTAATTTGAAATGAAAGCAATTTGAATTCAATTATCTTTTTAGTTTTTAGTTTTAAATTTTTAGTTTTACTTTTTTTTAATTTAATTAATTTCTTCAGCACTAAGAAAAGTTTTGCAATATTTTAACACTTTCTGGATATTTTTGTTGTTGTTTTTATTTTTAATCTGGTATTAATTCGTATTCGCGCGTAAAAATTTATTCAGTTTTTTTTTTTATTTCTGGTAAAAAAAAATAATTTTATTTTACCTAAAAAAGATTGTTTTAAAATCTTTCTACAAGAGTAACACTATGAAAATTAATTACAAGAAAGGTTTTTAAAAATAATCAAATTTGATTATTTATCGTAAAAAAACCCCTTTTTTTTAAAAAAAATATCAATTTCAAAAAATCCTTAATTTTGACATCTTTCTCGTGAATTTTTGGTTGTTTTCACTTAATAATTAAATTCATGCGTAAAAATCTTTTGAGCTGTAATTATCTATTGTGAATAATAAAAAAATTAAATAAAGATGTTCGTTGTCAACAACGAAACACCTCCCCATGGGGCACTGGCCAACAAAACAAGTCGGGAGTTCGAGAGTTCGATCCTCATTTACACTATTCATTCATTGTGGCTGTGCTGGACTCAGTTAATCCTGAGTTAATTTAAATATCTCTTATTAACAACAAGTAAAGAAATGTAGTGAGACTGAGGAAACGATATAAAAAAAAAACTAGTGCATATTGGCATGGTAATTAGAATCAAATTGCTGACTTCAAATTCTGTCCGTGACTGTTGCATTTATTTTCACCATACAAATACCATTGGGAAAGGTATGTAATGTAAATGACTGTCTAATTAATTACTTTAGATGAAGCATAGATATAAATGCCAAAGCAGTAAAGGTAGAGCAGCTTTTTCGTGGACTGATAGAATACGAAGGAAACTACACTTCATAGCACTAGAATTTACATTTTCTCTCTCCAGCTATAAAGCAGATCAGACTGTGGTCACTACTCTTGGTTGGCAACTAGTAGAGGAGAAGGACAACTTAATTCAGAACCAGTTGGACCACTTTTCTCTCCCTAGCTATAGTTTCAATAGTAGGTCAAACTGGACTCATTAGTCTTGGTTGGCAATCAGTCTAGGAGAAGGACAACTTAATTCAGAACCAATTTGATGTAAGGCTTTGACTTATAAAAACCTATTTATTATGCAAACTGCAATAGCAACACCTATTATGGTGAGGCTATGGCTCTGTACTCCACAGCAGTTTAAGGAAGTAAGAGTGAGATTAATTGATTTGAAAAATTCCTTAAGCATGGAAAATGGAATGAGAACAATCTACTCCATAGATTGACTAAAGGATTCAGTATGACAGCAGACACCTGAAGAAGGGTGGAGAGTACAAAGTCTGATACACTGTGAATATAACAGATGAGCATACTGGTTCAAATAGTAAGGTATATAATAATGAAATAACAAATTTGATATTACAGACAGATGCAGCCATGCCCTGGGGAGAAAATTATTGATATCTTGGAGAGTGTTGAAGACACAAAAGGCAATAATGGGGAACGAGGTAAGTAGGTATATTAATCAATTATTGTTTTTCAGAAGTACAAATTATTCCATCAACATATTACTCAAATTGATATTAATTAAATATCCTACTCAGATTGATATGAATTTAGTTTGTTGCAGTACTGCTCCAAGTTGGACTAAAGGCAGTGGCAAACAAAATGTACACATTTACAGGTCATCAATTGTTAGTAAAGGTGAAAGGAAATGGATAAATTTCAACAAGGTGATATTTTCACATTTTTCTATAACAATTAACAGATTAAATTAAAAAAAAAAATGATTAAAATTAAAAAAAAATTAATTTAAAATTCTCAGTGTCACTACACTTGCATGTGTAGTTGCATCAGCGTAAACATCACTTTAGTCTGAAGAAATCCTAAAAAATGAAACATGTCACACATAAACTTCTTCCACTTTTTTCTCTAGTATATATATATATATATATATATATATATATATATATACATATATGTGTGTGTGTATATATATATATAAATGTATTGTTATGATAATTTACCCATGCTTGCGTGGACTCTTCCAACTATAAATAGGAACAGGTATTGCCTTTTGAAGATTGAAATTTCCAGCAGTCAGCTTTGACAGTCACACTGAATATTCTTGATGTAACACTCTCGTTTGTAAATGTTTGTATTACTGTTAATATATTTCTTTAACTTAATTCCTCTCTTTGTGTCTTTATTTCTGGCTCTAACAAGGCCACAACATATATAATTAATACAAATATAAAATTTGTCACTTAGTTGATTGATGTTACCTTCAACTAGACTTTCATAGACAGACCCTCCAGCAGTCACTCTGTCCCCTCATCAGAGGATATAAGCAAGTGACTGTTTATTTTCTCAATTTTCATTTATGTATGAACTTTTCATTGGTGCAAGGTTCTTTTTTTCATTATGCACATATGTATGTATCTGTAAAATGTTGTGGTTATTTCTCGTTTTTGTCGTTTTTTTATAGCACTACTGGGCTCTACTTTGAGCAATAAGAATGTATAATTAGAGAGTAATTATAAATCGTGATAAAATCGATCATAAATGAAAATGACATGTTCATCATTAATTAATCATGGCTAAGGATCAGAAGCTGATGAAGTATTGAAATAAAGTTCAGAAAATATATATATATTATTCCAGGATCATTTTCCAACTTATTCATCATGATCTTCACCCTCTCTCACCTTCTAACTTTCAGTCCTGGAGTAACAAGGCACACATTTCACGTACAATTTAATTTTCAAGTCTTTCTCACTGCTCTTTGGACTGTCGTAGGTGAAACTCCTCTCTCATGTGCCAAATGCCTTATGAATTGAGTTGGATCTTTAGCTCTAAGTTGAAATGATCCTTTTTTTCTGTTGTGACCTCCTGATCAAGTTTTCCTCTCTACTGTTTCCTCTTTTTTAAACTTATTTACTTGTTCTTGAATGAAATTTGAAGATGGAAGCCAGAGCATGAATGTTGATATCATTACTGAAGGCCTGAATGATCTTTTTCCTCTCACCATTGGATAGACAATTTCAACTTGCTCTCTTTTTAGTTGAATAACTCAAAGGATTTTTCAGTGATTCCTACATAAAATGGTGTCAAGATAGCTAAACATTTTATTTGAAAACCTGGAAAAAAGAAACTCAATTAGTTTAGTGTTTTTTTTAAAATATTAAACATTTTTTTGGATGGATAATTATACTGTTACACTCGGTATATATATAATATTTGATAGTTGTATATTTAGGCAGCAATTCTTCTTTTATGCATGTTTCATTAAAAACGACAGACAAGGTACTACGGTTAAGCTTTTTATTTAATTTTTCTTGTGTTCGAACAAGAGCTTTCTTTTCTGGACAAAGGGTGTGTAAGAACTGTCCAAATGTTTTATATTTCTGAGCACTTTCGGCTATACCTTTAGCCATTATCAAGGATGATTCGATTTTTCAGCTTACTTGAGTGTGTGCATTACTTGAGTGTGTGCGTTATGTCTTAGTTTGTGGTAGGGATGTTTTTCATTTCCGAATACGGTTAGCACATTGTGGCTTTGTTCGTAGTCAATATTGTTAAGAGTTGGCCTTTTCTTTTTTATTATTAAAGCTTCCATTATTTTTTATCTTTTTTTGCAATTGGATGCTGTTAATATATTAGTGTTTTCTACTAGTATGTTTCTAATGGAGTCTGGTAAATTTGTGTGTGTGTTTAAATGGGTTCTAATACAGCTGTGATCAGATAGGTGCAACGTAAAATATAATATCATCTTCTACACATGACTATCAGGTTGACAGCTGTTTCCTCTCCCCCACCCATTTCTTCAATATTATAAATCCCCAGAAAACAGATTTTATAGGTCAAGCATCTAGACTTCCTGTTACCTTTTTTTCTTTTTTTTAAAACATTCGGTCAGATTTTTGGAAAAAGATCAGTCTGTGAATATTTGATATATAGGAGGTTTTTCTAGAGTCTAGACCAGCAGTGACCAAACTTGCTAAATGTAAGAACCACATAGGGTGAAGTTCAGATGTTTGAGAACCACAAGTCATGAACAAAATTTACATGTGATCACTCTCATTCTCCCTCCCCTGGCACACCCAAATCTTTAATTTCATTACCCATGACCTCAGTCTTCTGGCATTCCGCTGGAACCCTTGCTGACTGGAAATTTCTTTAAACCCTCTGCCTCCCTTCATTCTTTCCCGCAACACTAAAGAACAATGCCTCACTCAGATCTAGCATTAAAAATTATAAATATGGCATATAATCCTTTTTTGATTAATGGAATTAACAAGATTTAGAAGAGTATTTTATTAATTTGATGGTAATTTAATATACACTAAAGACAATCAAAAGAATCTGAATTCATAAAAACAAAAATAAAATAAAAAATTAGGATTTACATTCTGAAATATTTTTACTAGCAATGAACATTAAACTTACGTTTTATTCCAATGGGGTCTCAATTCATACCCAGTACATATTTATAAAGCTCGGAATTTTTCTTATTTACCTTTTAATTGTGATGAAAAAAGAGGTCAGCCAACATATTTCCAGGAGACGTATATTAAAGGCCAAAAAGCCACATGTGGCTCGCAAGCCAAGGATTGGCCACCTCTGGCTTAGATTGTATCAAGCCATTTAATAAAAAATAGTTTATGCAGGGCACTGGCAACACAATCTCCTTAGGGTCTCACATACTTATCTCAGAGATCTTCCTCTTTGCAAATGTCAGACTTACCATCAGTTGCCTCATTCTTCTTCTATGTGTGATGTCCCTTCAAGATGTTGGCAATCATGGCTCTCCACAATTTCCTGTCCTTTGTAGCTCTTAGTTAATTTTGATATCTCCTCTAAACCCTGTTCTGCCATCCATTTATACAAGCTCATTAAGTAGGTTATGCACTGTTTACCTCTCTCCACCTTGTTTTCAATCTATCCTCTGAGTATCAAATTTTCCAAGCCATCTTTTCTCATTTTGTACTCTAGAAATTTCAGCTATCTCTTCCTGATGTCAAGTTTAAGTGACCATTTTGTTTTCATTTTCCCTAAAACTTCATTGTTGTTCACATGTTAAGTCCATGTTATTCTCAGCATCCTTCTGTAGAGCCACATTTCTATCACTTCAAGTTTCTTCTTCATCTGTTTTTCCAGCATTCACTGCCATATAGGATGACTGATATTATGTAACAGTTTAGTACTTTTTTTTTTTTATAACAAAATTTTCCAGTTTTTTAATGCTCTGCTTAGCTTTTGGAAGGCATCTTTTGCCATCTCAATGTATCTTTGGATTTTAGTGTTCACTTTCTATTCTCTGTTAAAACACTTCCCAGATATTTAAATTGTTATACTTGCTTGATTTTGGTATTTCCAATTTCTAATTTGCATGTTGGATTGTTTCTTTTGTTGACATCCATGCATTCTATCTTCTTGCAATTAATGTTGGACACTGCATGACATCCATATGATAATCTAGATCTGAAATGGCTGTTTAAGAATATAACTTTAGTTTTCAGGTTAATATTTTGGTTTTTGTTGTTTGCAGTGTTGGACAAAAGTGCCCTTAATGCAACCTATCCTATGTTCAATTTCCTTATCTACTATATTAAATCCAAATTCTAACACTTTATCCTCTTAGCTACTATGCTTCTCACTCACAGTTTTTTCTTATTTACAGGACGATTACTTGTGACAAATTTGAGGATTATCTGGCACTCACATGTCATACCAAGAGTTAATCTTTGTAAGTATTTTAATTAATCGTTGTAATGTTCTGGGTATGATGATGAACTACATCTGGCAGCAAAGACCTCTGATCAGTAGATTGGAGGTTTTGAAGACCATGGAACCACCTCTTAATTGCTGTTGCTCCTAGGTCTACCCTGCCCCAGCTATGGGCAAATAGTTAACCCCCAAACTGGTGTCAAAACACTATGAAAGTATAAAAATACATTTTTATAGTAAAAAATACCAGCAATTAACTTATCTAATCAACCAATAGGTTTATTTTTTAAAAATGAAAAAAATGATGATTACTTACTTTCATGATGTTTTATTAATTAAAAGATCTGCTCTAAATCTAGTCATTTAATATTAGTGAAAAAGTAGCCTCAACTTTAAATTATTTCATTTGGATTTCACAAACTTATTCTAGTTTCACTTCCATTTTACAAAGCAGTTTGCAAAATATTTTGGAATCACCATCATCTGCCTCGTCGCATTTTCCCTAATTTCGTCTACAGTCAGAAATCTCCTTGACAATTTTATCTTTGGAAAAAATTAAAACTTGCAGTGAACCAAATCTACACTGTCAATCGGTGGAGAAGGTGGTTAACTAACCTGGGTAATGCAATCTTTTGCATGAAATATGAAGAATGGGCAAGTGCATTATCATGATGAATGCTATGATCTCACAGTACGCAGGCATCTCACTGGTACCTCATTGCTGACTGAGTAACTTCAGGGAAGAGTATAGGAAATTTTGTCATCCAGGTTTTGTTATATTATGTGGTCAAAAGTAATTAGCGACTCTGTATTGGAACGTAATTTCAGATTGGACATTTCTTCCCTCTACACAGGTTTCTTGGTATTTATTGTTGTTCTCTTCCCTGTATCCATTTCGTTGTTCGTTCTATCACAACTGCATGTATTGTACGATGTACCCCGACAGAATATGCCTCTCACCTCCATGATGGTCTACTTATAATTGCAAGTCACCAATCACTTGCCGTATGTCTAGGATAAACATCCAAAACATACGGGCACCTCAGAATGGAGCACTAACACACCCGGATGTCTCTCCTCAATTCCATCCAACTACACTAAAATTATGTAAAGTTGCTAATGACCCAATTCCTTGTGGTACAACAAAGAAGGGCCTCTTTGATGTAATGACATACTTGCCTTCTCTCAAATCAAAGTCCTACATCAAAGTTAGGATGCTTGTCTCCGTTGGTAGTGGCATAATAAGAAAGAAAAAACTTGTAATTCCAACAAATGATTTATTTTTTTACGGAAATATTTCAGCTAGCAGTTGCCAGTCTTGGTTACTCCTTAATTTGAGTAAAAACAGTACAAAGAAGTTCGAAATGCTTAAGAATTTAAATCAAGGAGAACAAACCGAGTTGATGACGTTTACAACGTAATAGCAAGTCGAGGCATAAAAAGTCCTACATGCCAGACAATGACAAACTCTCTTTCATTGAGAATAAGGCAAGTCTTGTTCACCATTTCTAACATTCCACTCAGGTTCTGGTTCACTATGTCTGCTACATATTAAAAATATGAATGTCTGAATTCCAAGCAATAGTAAAATAAAAATAAAGAAAATATGGTTATATTGTATAAATTTGTATTTACAAACATATATACATGAATTCAAAAGAGTTGAAAAGGTGTAAAAATAGTCTTTAGTTAAATTAAAGTCTTTAGGCAGATGGTACACAGAAAAGACTTAAATATTTGGTTCACAGTCAAAAGCTGTGGTTGAAAAAAGACTTATCCTGAGCAAAGATTCACTGACTATTGTTGTTGGATATGGTTTATTTGAATTCACTGACACATGATTGTCAGTGAAGATTCACTGACAATCGAAGATATTGTTGTTGTAGCTGATTCATTTGAAGTCATCAACATGTTTCTTTCAGTATGCACTCAGTGTTGGGGAAGGAAAACGGTATGTAGCCATTTTCTCTTGTGTTTAAACGGCTTGGAGACAGCCACATCTTTACTCTCTGAAATTTGAAATCTGTGGATTTTTATAAGAAATTTTTCTTGAAAGTAGACTTGAGAAAAATAGGGTTTTAGAGTTCTCTGATTGGTCAAATATTTCACATGGTGATGTTAATTTCTAACCAACAGACACTTTGATTTAAACAGTGTGAGTTATGTCATGGAATGTTTTTGCCATGTTTGTAATATTGCCTGCTATTGGGCAGAAAATAAAGTTTTAATATGGTATGTATATGTGTATGTAATTGTGTTGGAAATAAGGTTTATTTCCTTTAATGTGTTATATAAAGATTTATTTTGTGTTTTACTTGCAGGTGAGTGGTCCTCTGTTTTAGGCTGCTAGTGACCACTGTCTTATAGAGACAAGCATTCTTTGTCCTGTTAGCTTTCATCTAAAAAAGTCATTCATTGAGTCTGCTCCACTCAGATAAACTTCTTTGTCAGGATTGTTTGACATGATTCTTGTAAGCTGACCTCCTTTGTCCAGACGATAATTCTTAAAACAATTTCTGTAACATCACACAGATGTCTCCTTAACAAGATATCAACTGACAATAGATCTTGCTAAAAGTATCTTTTCTCACATTTGTCAAATTACATTACAACTGGATCAAGGAGAGAAGTTCTGATAAATTAAGATTACAGGATTTTACCTTATCGAATAAAACACTTTATGGAAAACAACCTTCATATTCCATTTGTATGAAGTAAGTTACAATTGGATAGCTTCTTCCCAAGAACTGCTGCTTTGTGGAACAGACTTCCAGTGGGATGTTTTCCCAAACACCAGAATCTTGACCTCTCCAAGTATAGGGTTAATCATTGTCTTACCTACCTATAATCTCATGAACTGCACATTTTTTTACCACTCATACAATACCTTACAGTAACCCCCTGACTTGAGTGGCTTTTGGGTCTTGTATTGGATAAACATCTGTATAATAAAAAGCAAAAAAAAAAACCCAATTGGCTGTGATTTGTTGATGACCAAGCATCACCATTCTCACACAGATTAATACCACTGCTATGAAAATATACCAGTAATGCCATCTATGTTGAGAGCCTGTCTTCCCCAATTATTTATTCAAGAGAACAAAACTCTTACCTCCACCAGGCATACCTGAGTCAGTCACTTTTTCATGTTGGTCTGGTTTTCTGCTTCACTTTGTAAAGAAAAAAGTAAACAAATTACATGTTTTGAATAAGAAAAAAAGAAAAACCTATTTCTTCAAAAAATGGTATCAGAAAAATATCACTAATATGCCAACAATCCACTTCTTTCATCACTAGATATCTTTACAAAATATCTTATCATTGTTATGCAAATTATGATTGACAGAGAAATGACTGAGTGAGTGAGCACTTGGAGAAAACCAATTTCCCATAACTGCTTAATCTGCTTGGGTAATTTGCACCAAAGTAGGCTTTCATAGCAAATAACCAAATTGAAGTTTCGATTTTGTCAATTACAGATTTTTCAGTGAATGTTTGACAGTTTTGTTTCAAAAGCATGGCACTAGTTTGGCAGTTAGGTCTTATCTGTTGAAATTGCTAGATGTAAATGCAAGTTCTTTCTTTCTGAATTTCTGGAATGAGGAGTTACCATTATTTTCACTACAAGATAGCAGTAGCCTAATGGATTAAAGCATTGGTTGATGAATTTGGGGACACATTAGTTGTATTTAATCTCTGGGCTTGACTCTGTATGTGCTTGGACTCCATGAAAACAGAGTGAGCAATAACTGAGGTGTACAAAAAATAAGAACTAGGCAAAATATCCCAAGACATGGTCAGTGAAATGAGAACAATCTAGCTCTGTAGATTAAATAATGGTTCAGTTTTTAATTTCCTGTAGGTTAGGTGGGTCAACATACTTTTGATCAAGGCCAGAGGCCACAACAGCCAAAGCGTTGTGATAACGACAAAGATAAAGACAATATTCCACATGTAAATGTAAATAATCACAGTTTTTTTCTCTCACACTTCTTGCTTGTGGAACTCTTTTCCGGCTTCTTGCATTCCAGTCAACTTTGATCTTCAAAAATTTAAATGTGTCAATCATCATCTTCTGTGTTGGTTTCAATCCCTGCAAGAATGACTGCTAAAAACATCCTCTCCCCAAATTTATAGAAAAATTCTACAGATGATGCTGGGATTTCTTCTTAACCAATAAAAATGGATCACTTCTCGGTCTCATCTGTCATTGGCTTTTCTTCTTAATTTCCGTCTTGGATTATATCACATTCAGTAACCCCTTGTGTCTTAGTGGATTTATCGCTTTACTTGGGGTGAAATAATTAAAAAATGAAAATAAATACTTGAAGCAACATGGATGGGTTTCTATTGGCAAGTGATGTGCAGAGGTTTTGTGATACCTGAGGCCAACTCTTTGACTGTATGCCCCTAAGACTCAAGTAGTCGGGCCTATAGGGCTTAGTACTGCAAAATGTGAGAAAGGAAGACGTTTTAAATATGTGAAAAAGATGAAACATGAAATAAACACTTTATTCAAATTAAATATAAACTAAATTTTTATTTCACTCTTTGATTGGATGCCTTCCTGACATGGGTGCCCAGAGTCGTCGAACTCTCTTACCCCTACTTTTGCACTCTACTGCTACTGGAAAATGTTGAGAAGACCATGGGCAGAACAGCTTGTGTTAAATGAAAAAGTCTTAAGTAAAGTAGAAACTACTAAGAAACTGTTGCTAACATTCAGAAAGAGACAGCTGAAACTTTATTACATATAATGAGGCAAGAAGGCTTGGAGAATTTAATACTCACATGATATAGAGAAAGAAAGTGAAACAGAAGATCATAGAGAGTAACTTTCTTGATAAGTTTAAGTAAATAGATGGAGAAAAAGTAACACAAAGAGAAAGAAGTGTTAAAATCGAGAAAATACAGAGAACAGCAAAAAACAAGAATCTACGCAAAAACATGATGACCTCCATTTTAAAGTAACATGCTACATCAAATTAAGTGAATTTTTCAGCATACCCACATTGTTACAGAATATGATACAAGGTTAAGGTTTAAAGTAGGTTTAATAATGGTAAAACTGTAAAAATTGCTAAAGTCACCTTAGTACTTCCCCTTTTGGGACGCCGCAGGCGCCTGGTAATGACTCCAGCTCTCTCCCGAAGAAGAGGTCCTGTCTGTTGGGATGACCCCCTGGGGCTTGAGCTTAATATTTTTTTAAAAATTACTTAGCCGAAAGCAGGTATCAAATTAAGTAACCTTTCGAGCGATAGTAAACAGGGGAGGCAACTATGTAGTTTTTCCTGTACTGATTTATGTCCCTTAGCATCAGTTTATATCTCCTACGCCAATGATTCTCAATCGCTGTGCCAATGCATACTAATGTGCTGCGTGATCATCTTAAGTGTGCCGGCAAGGTTTTTTTTAATCAAAATTTAGAATGTTCTAAAAAGAAGGAAAAATTTTTTAAAATAATTAAAATGAACTTTTGGTCTTTCCTCTTCATAATAACATAAACATTTAAACGATAAAATTTTGTTTTCGTCAAGTTTGTCATCTTTTTCATCATGCTATGCTCTTTTTTTAGCGATCTTGTGGAGGTCCCAAAAAACTTTTTATCCCACATTAACTACAAGGGCTTTATCAGTTTTATTGCAATTTTCTACTTCTTATTTATATGAATTAGGCTTCTTAACCATAAATAACATCAAAAATAAGAAGCAAGAAAGACTAGGCTCAATTAAAGAAGAAATGAGTCTGCTTATCACACATTCAAACAAACATTGAAGAATTGCAAAAAAAACAAAAAAACACCAGGCACAGTTTTCACACTAAATAAGCTGCACAAATAGTTGAATAGAAACATTGTAATAAAGTAAGTTCATATTTGTGTGTATAGTTTTTTTTTTTTTTTTTAATCTATGGTTTTATTATTTAAATGTATACCCTCTAAAAATTTTGTAAAGTGTGCTGTGATATTTTCATTTGCTTCTAGGTGTGTCATTGCTTAAAAAGTTTGAGAAACACTGGCTTGCACCCTAAAAGAACTTAGTGCATAAAAGAAGAGAATTATTTAAATAAATAACTTAATAAAGAGATTATTAGGAATTATTATTATTTCTTAAAGAGTTTTTTATTAGAATAACTAATGTTGTAATTAGAATATTATTTATATTAAAACTTATGATGATTTTGAGGATATTTTATTTTTTTTAATATTACATGTTTTGAATTAAAAAGAAGAAAAACCCTATTTCTCATACTGAATGTTTATAAACAACAGAAATTCTGATTCTTTATAAATAGCAGCAATTTTATACAATTAACTTGTTAATAGCTTTAGGGTTGTCATTTGAAGTTGAGAAGATGCCATGTGTTGATGAACAAATCTAAATGATTTGAATTTATTGAGAAAATAGACAAATAAAAGAGTGAAACAAAACAAGATAGAAATTTTTATTCTATTATGAACTTTTTGTGTAGAGAAAATCTAAAAGATAGTTCCCGAAAGAAAGTGCAAATTTAAGGAATGTTCTGAAGTGAGACTGTAAAAAAAAAAAAATGAAGAAAAACTTGAACTTATTGGTGAGTTAAAGAGTGAGTGAGAGGTATTATCTAAGCTACACATGTTTTTATGTCTTTATGCTGGGAGGTCAATGGCACCATTTTGGTTATATTGCATTATCTCTCTCAGCCAGCGTCCGCTAGATGTTTTTTGGGTCCAGAGATAGAAGGACTTCATCACAGAGGATTTTAACTTATCTAGTTTTATTATTCACATCAATGTGTACATTTTCTAACTATCTAGTAGAGTTGCTCCCTGTACCACTGGGGAGCCATTCCAGACACAAAAGTGAACATGTCTACATTGCTTGACATGTAAGAACCAACTTCCCAAAAAAACTTTTCTCTATCTATCATCCCCATACAAACTCAACCAATCAAAATCGACATCCTTATTATGTCTTCCATCTGACCTCAAAGGTCAGTCTACAGAATTTGGAGCCAAGATACACTTCCACTAAAAAATAATAGTCTGCTAAACTATTATTTAACACATAGAGCTCTAATTTTGGCATTCTATCACAACCTCAGCATGATGTGAATTGATTGATTTGTTTTCTACATCTTATTAGCCCTTTGCCAGTTATTTAAAGCCAGAATGTATTTTAGATTGTAAGAAGTTTTTTTTTTTATATAATGATTTCGTAATATGTCTTACTAATTAATCCATATTTGGTGGGGGGTATTTGTGAATAAGTGAATATAACAAACTCAACAAAAATTGAAATTCAGCTTTCTGATTAATAATTTGGAGACATTATACATTACACTACCCACACATCTAAGCTTATAGCATCTGGTATTCCCAAACATTCACCCATCTAGATAGTGACCAGGTTCAACATTGCTTAAATTTGGTAATTGTACAGGAATTGATGTTTCAACATAATGTGGCTGTAAACCTCAGCACAAAGAGAAAGTGCTAGCCTCTCGGGCTTTACAGCACATATGCTCCCAGTTTTGCTTTGTTTTATTTACACATGCCCAAAAGTTGAAAAGAGTTTGCTGCTGCTGATGATGATGATGATGATGACAGGGTTATTAACACATGTGTATCTAGTGAAAAGATTTAACATCTACAAAATGAAGCATTGTTTATAGAGCTGCCATGTTAATTGTAAACAAATGAAAAGGTTGTTTTCTAAATAAAATATTGTTTAAGAATAAAGGAAATGTTGATTGTTTAAAAAGAGCAGTCATATTGATTATAAACAAATAATGAAAAAGTTGATTATTTCTAAATAATGGAAACATTGTTTATGAATGATGTCAATGTTTATAAAGAGCAGCAATGTTGATTGTCAACAAATAAGTTTGTTTTACATAAAATGTTTATGAAGAGTTGAAATGTTGATTGTTTATAGAGTGCAGAAAGGATAATTGTTTATAATTGTTAGAAAAGTCAATTGTTTATAAATACAGTGAAAATTGTTTATATTGGAAATATTAATTGCCTGTAAATAGCTGTTATAACATTGGCCAGATTGATGGAAGTTTCTACTAAACAGTCACCATTCGTTTGCTTTTTCTAAATTAATTAAAATTTTCTTTTTCTTTCAGCCATTGGATTAAATTGTATTATAAACCTATCAACAAAATTTGCAAATTCGGTGAGTAATTGCTATGATTCATTTCTGCTGTGTTTGTGATTTCTTTCCTTCAAAATTTGGATTTCTATATACACATTGTAATTCTTGGAATTCTATATACACATAATTCTTGGATTTCAATATACATACTGTAACTTTTGGAATTTTATGTATACTCTGTTACTTAGAATTCTATATATGCATTGAATATTTTAATTATATATATATATATATATATATATATATATATATATATATATATATATATATATATATGAATGAAAAAGACAAGGGGAAAAATTATTCTTAGCAGACATGTTTCATCCTCTGTGGGGATCAAGGGGATGTAGGATTTATTTTGCTGCATGTGTTTATATACAAAAAGTGAGGATGTCATTGGCTTTGTCAAGGCTTTTAAATTTGAGAATGTTCATGAATGTTCATCAGGTGGTTCAAAGGTCAGTCAAAGTATATGGAAGGCACAAAGTGTCATAATTCAAAGTCTGATAGAAAGAATTTTTTTTTTTTAATGAATGTATATTGTTTAACTTATGATTAGATTGTTATGGTATGAGATGGATGTATGTGCTGTACCATATCATAACAATCTAATGACAACTTAAACAATATTCATTCAAAAAAAATATTTCTTGAATATTACTCACTTACATTTTACCAGACTTTGAATTATGACACTTTGTGTCCACCACATGTTTTGTTTGACTTTTTAACCACCTGATGAATATTCATGAACATCGGCTAAGAATAGTTTTTCCTCTTGTCTCTTTTTATTCATTTTGTTCCTTTACAGATAATTCATATATATATATATATATATATATATATATATATATATATATATATATATATAATCGTCCATAGACAGATAGACAGACTGTTTTTCTGTATCACAGCTCATCAGTGTGGCTTGACACATGATGGCTTCAAGCCAGGATCAAAACCCAACTGATTTGACATCAGTCAAAGACTCTCACCCTTAGGCCTTCAGCTCACACACCAGAGAACAGGATTTTTTAACACCTTATATACACAATATAAGCATTACCAGCTACCAGTGCTGAATTCATAGTCAAGAGCTTTTAGCTAATAATTAATAGCAGAAGCCAACAAACTCACTTTCTTCTAAAGTACTCAACTTACGAGAGGGGGTGTTACCCTATATATATATATATATATATATATATATATATATATATATATATAGTTAACCCAAAAAGTTTTTGCTGTTTTTGAGTTATTAGAAAAATAAAGGTATACCACAAATCTGACATACCATTAGTCCTCTAAGTAACATGCATCAGCATCCAGAACCTTTTACCAACGTGCCTCCAACTGTGCAATGTCCTGGCAGTAAAATTCTGGAAGAAATCTGTGAGTGCCTGCCACAAGTCTGTCTCATTTGCAAAGGATTTCCCATGAAGGTGGTTGTCCAAGGAATGGAAGAAGTGAAAATCTGTTGGTGCAAAGTCTGGGGAGTAAAGTTGATGGCACAGTGTTTCCCAGGTAAGTTGTTGTATAGTATCCCTAGCCACCTGTACCACATGAGGCCTGGCATTGTCATGAAGGCACATTACATCCTTATGATCAACCAATGCTAGCTCCTACTACTTCAGTGGCTATTGTACATGTTCCAACTGTTGTGAGTACATGTCTGCAGTGATGGTTTGACTATTTGGTAGCAGCTCATAGTGCACCACTTGTCAACAAGTCTACCAGATATAGAGCATGATCTTGCATGGTTGTAGATGTGGTCTTGTAGTGTTAGGCACAGGGTCGTGTGGTGATAACCAATGACTGGTATACTTGGGAGTGTCATACAGGATCCACGTTCGTCACTGATGAGCACTTGATTAAGTATAGGTATATTGCAGTGCTTCTGACAGTGTGTTCGGTACCTACTTGCTCAACTTGTACACCTTCCCTATGTGGTGCACGTGAAGTTTGACTGTTTCATCAGGAACCTGGGAGCATTTGGCAAGCTCACCACAAGTTTGGCTGTTGTCCTTTTCTATGGCTGCCTTCATAATCCAGTACCTGTGACCAGCCACTGCAGGGTCCATCACAAAAGGACAGATCTCCCAACTGGAAATTCTGAAACCAATACCTGGCGGTGAGTTCACTTACAGCATTATCCCCAAAGGTTTGATATATTTGATGACTTGACAAGGCTGTGGACAAGCCCACCTTAAAGTCATAAAGTAAACAGCCTTGAACAAGATGCTTTGACACCACCATGTTTCTTTGCCACTGCTCAAGCTATGACTGGTGTTTGTTTACAACATACCTGCATTAATCAATACCCACACTGCTTTTCCAGCATGTGATACACACATTTACATATCAGTAATAACTTCTTCTCATACAATGTAAAAATCAGCAAGGACTATTTTGGTTACCTTATATATGATAGAATAAAAAACAAATAAGTTTTTATCAATCAAACATGTTTCACTTTTATTAAAGCTCCATCAGATATGGTGTAAAAGAATTTCTGGTATTTTTATTCTTCTGTTGTTTGATTATCATTGGTTAAGCAATCTTCATTTGCATTTGACTTCTTAAGCAGTGTTCGTGTGTATAATTTATGATGTTCTGAACTCAAGGAGAGATGAGGCATCTGTTCAAGCAAAAAAAAATTAATGGATTCTAAGCTTAACTGAAAAAATATACATATTACTTTATTTATGTAAGTGAATCAAGTTCAGAATCTCAAATCATACACACAAAAAGCCAAATGTCACCTGGAACCAAATCTAGACTCTTGAATGGCTGACACACCTGGTTAATTGGAGGTTTTACCAAAAACTCTACATCAGACATGACAAATCTACTCATTTGGTAATTTGTCAGTCAAACAGTATACAACCACACTAAAGACTGAGTAACTTCATAGGAGAGTGTCTTCTTATTTGAAATAAGTTCCTTTTTGACTGGTGGCTAAATTACATTACAGCTGCATAAGCAGTTTTTGAGATATACAAAATAGTTGGGTATATTTCAGACAAACCTTGTATAATAGTAGCAACACTTCATCTGTAAAAGTTGGATAGAAACAAGGAAGATAAAGTAACTTGAGCATTATGATAAAAAACAAAAAAGATAAGGTGAGTGATCTGAAAGGATTGGTGTATAATTGTAAATTTACAATGTGATCTGCGCCCAAGCTTTCCAGTGACTGATCAATGATTACCTCACATTGCATTTCAATTCTTAATCACATCAGTGTGTACTGAAAGCTAGGAAAGGGCTCATTGCATGCTCACAATGTACAAAGATAAAAGACAAATTTCATGTTGAGAAATAAGAATGCAAACACTGTTTCCTGTATTATAAAATAGATGTTTTATTCATGGCTTCACCTGCTTGTCTGGGTGGGTAGGGCAGTGATATTTTGGACAACTGCTATGTTAGTCTAACAGTTCAACGCTTCCTCTCTACAGACTCTTCACCTATCTACTCATGGTGGTTGGCAATATGAAATGGACAACACAGCAACTGACAGACAAGTCCATCTCCCACTAAGGGCAGACCAAAACTCTATTCATTCCCAAACATGCACCTGGATATACCCTATTTCCGGATATGTTGCTGTTTGATCTCAAAAAATCCCTCATCCCCACTTTATTTCTGTGTTACCCTTTGATCAAAGTGGATGCTGCTTAGAAAACCGAACTTCAAAAGGAATCATCTACTTGTCCATCAAAAAGAAACTCTTGAGATCAAGATAAAGCCACTTCTTCCCTTTTTATGTGGGTGTCCATAGTATCACAATACCACCTTATCTGAGACAAAAGTATCTTTTATCACTGTTCTCATTCTTTTATGTGTAACTCCTTTTGCCAATCTGGATGTGAAAATCTCCCTATTTTATTTAAATAAGTTTAATTTTCTTTGTATTTTTTTTGTTTACCTTGATCTTCTTGAACAGAAACTAAGAGGAAACATTGAGGCTCTCTATGTCTTGGCTAAAAGTCAAACCAGATTTGAATTTATTTTTACTAATTTGGTGAGTATCAAATCATCTTTATTTATTTTTTCTTTTTGCTGTTGTTCACCCAATAGAAGCCCAATGTAGGGGGATAATGAATGAACATAGGAGGAGGTAAGAAGTGCATATTAGGAAGATATGTGGATGAATCAACTTTGTATATGTGGTATGGCTGGTACTAGTTGTGAAGGTCTGAACTGGTGTAAGTAAAGAATATAGCTTGTCTGAACCTTTGTCATGAAAATAGTAATAAAGTAAAGAGAGGCTAGGAATGTTTCATCTGTGGGAGAGGGGCTGCAGAATAGAAAACGTTTAACCACTCATAAGGTCATTTTGATCTCTGTAAAAGCTGGAAAAGGAGGATTGGACTGTTCCAAGCCAGATTATGGCAGCAATACTCTGTATTTGGTCTGATTTGACTGTTGTAAAGATAGAGCAGTATTGGGGTCTGGTTCATAACTGCTAATTCCATCTGCCTGAAAACTGTCTTCATGAAAACATTAAAGCATTTCAATTTGTTGAATAGTTCACTTCACTGAAAAATCGAAACAGAAAATTAAAGGGAGATAATTTTTATACCACTAGGCACTCATTTTCTAACCTGAAACTAAAACACCAGACAGCTCTTTCAAAAAAATTTGGGGAATTGAAGGAGAAAGGTTTGAGCTCACAGATAGTTTGGAAGATTATAAGTCCATTTCCCACTATATATATATATATATATATATATGGCCTGGTGATTGCATTTAAGCATGTAACAGACTGTTGTTGGTGGTTATTGACTTCAGTGTCAACTTTTATATTTACTTTTGCTCTATCTCTGATACTGAGCACTTTAACCCATAAATATAGCATATCTTAAACTATATTTTTATCACATACATACATATATATCTATATATATATCCATATCTCTCTCTCTCTCTATATATATATATATATATATATATATATATATATATATATATATTTGTGGGATAAGAGAGTGTCAAAATTTTTACACTACCTTACACCACCAAATGGAAAAATATAAGAATACTAAAAAATCATCAATCATCATCTCTCATAGTCAATGAGATATATATATATATATATATATATATATAAAATGTATGTAAAAATTACTGATAGAGTATATTGGTTAAAGGGCCATATGAATAAAAAACAAAAGGAAAACTTATCCTAGCTGACATGTTTCATCCTCTGGGTTTCTTTATCAACACAAATATAAGGATTTTATTTTGTGATAAGTATTTATATACAAGAGCAAAAATGTTATTGGTTTTTAAAAATTTTTACATATAGGAGTATTCATGAATATTCATCAGGTTAACAGGCAAGTTTATGGTGGCCATGAGATGATACATTTCAATCTATATCTATAATTCTCAAAATGAATGTGTGTGTGTGTCATCGGATATTGTTTACGTGTTTCCACAGTTTTCATCTGATTTCAATTAAATTTTTTTTTGTTTGATGGGTAATTCTTCAGTGCTGGTTTTGAGTTCAAATTGGCTGGAAAAAATTACAACCTTGAATGTGAAAGATCAAAAAACTGATTTTTTATACTTTGCGCAAAAATTTACATTTTCATTCTTGAAACTGCTGATCAAAGGACTCAACAGCTGAGGAGAAATGCCTCTTCAGCTTCTGCCTAGCATATGACAGAAACAAGATTGAGAATGCAAAAATGGCCTTTTCAGGGCCAACTGCCCTTCAAATTGTTAACCCCCCATTTGGGGATGTGCCTCAGTTGCATGCAGTTGTTGTTACTAATATTGATTTTCGGGTGGGCTGAATTTAAACTTAAACTGCTTCAAATGATCGGCAAAAATTCCCAGTAATGAAAGACCCAGTCGAAGACGGGTTATACTGCTAATGTCGAAGATACAAAAGTGAGTACATGTTTTTATATATATATATATATATATATATATATATATATATAAAACTTCAAATGTTTTTATGTATATATAACTTCAAAATGTATATTTCAAATGTTTTTATATATATAACTTCAAATGTGTTTATTTATATATATATATATATATATATGTTTACTTCAAATGTTATTATAGTGGACACTATATATTTGAAATAGATGTCTCATTTTTATTTATTAAACATTGTGCATTATGTCTATTGACCTGTACATTTCAGAAATCCTAGTAAAGAAAATGTATTCTCAAGCCCAAATCAAACCTGTGAACCTTCATCCCCCTTTGTAGGTTCGAGCTCTTCCCAAAAACACGTTTTCTTTACTAAGATTTATTGAAGAGAATGCAGTATGAGAAAGAGAGAGAGAAAAACATCACTCACAAAAGAAGAGAAAGAGAAAATTATATTTACGTATATACCATGTATAACCATACGTAGTGTATGTGCATGTGTGATGTACCACGTGGTGTTGTGAAGTTAAGTAGCCTGCTGCCTGAAGAGTATCACTTTGGCAAGGAAAATCCTGTTGCTATTGCTACAACGTCTTGGAGTAAAAAGAGAATAGGATTCATGTCTATTATTTTTGTAGTCCTGACTTGAATGATAAATGACAGACAAGATAATCCCCACGTTTTTCTAAACTTCATATACTAATTGTGCATGTTCCTCCCCTTATTAGTTCCTTAGTTAGTCTGCATAACCGTTAAACCCTGCCAATATCTTATAAATAATTGACTATTCCATTTTGATGAAATGGAAAGAGTAGAAAAACAGTGAATCTGAATTCTCTGAGAGGAAATTGTCATTAGATCTGATGTGCTTTGACCTCTCGGCTACAGAGAACCCCATGGCCAAGCACAGCCTGAATAGTGCTTTTAAATGCAGAAAATGAAAACTGAAGAAGGAAAGAAAGGAAAATAAAATTGTTTAACATCTCCTGCCAATAACTCATAAATAATGGACTATTCCATTTTGATCATATAGAAAGACAAAAGACATATCAGTGAGAAAATGAATGAAAGAAAGAAGGAAAGATAGAAGTGTTTAACAGCTGTTTCAGTGGAATGGAAAAAGTTGTTAATTTCAAATCTTTTCATTTGTACCCCCTTACTTCTTAAAATAACAAGCATCATTTATATTTATGATTGTTATTGCAATATTTTGTTAATGTTGTTAAGCTCAAATATTTAGTGATGTTTTAGGGGAATTTCTACATGTATTTTATTGTCATAATTTAATAAGAAAATTGTTTGATGAAATTCCATTGTTTCATTTGTTTCAGGTCTCAGGATCTTCTCGTTTGTTCACATCTGTCATAGCCATTCACAGGTAGAATCATTTTCATCATAAATTTCTTTGTTATTAAATAGATTTTCTATGTTATTTAAGTGTATACCTAGCCAGAATAAATCCCTTGTACATGTCCTGCCTTCTGACCTTCTTTTAATTTGACCAAAATTCGATCAGGCTTACAGCCATATCATATTGTAATACTGGTTGCGATCACCAAAGTTAAGCAACATTGAGCCTGATCAGTACCTAGCTGGGTGACCACTTTGGAATATCAGGTGCTGTAAGCTTGGATGTTTGGGTGGTGTAACTGATAACAGCTTGGATTTGGAGATTGGAGAGCTGAGTTTCAATTCTAGCTGGGTTAGTTATATTCATTTATGCACAAATACCCTAAGGAAAGGTCTGAATCCATCTCTTCTCCCCCCAGCTATGAGTTAATTAGTAGGACCTGTATCAGTAAATAATTATCTCAAAAAAATTCTGAAAATCTAAAAATATTTCCTGGCTTTAAATAACCTGCAAAGGTTGATAGATTGTAAAAAATCAATCAATATCTTGTATATTTGGTTACTTTTTTGTCTTTCTGTTTTGAAGTTCACATTAACAGAGGGGAAGAAGGGAATTATTAACAAAATTAACCTTATTTTTTAGTTTCTTAATCTTTTATTGATTTATTTACAACTTTATTTTTTCAGAATTGTATTTTTTTTACTCTCCCAATGTTGATATATTTTAAGATTGTTGTGTTCTTTTTCTGTTTTCAGGGCTTATGACACTTCCAGAATGTATCGACAGTTGAAACTCAGAGGCGCTCTTGTTGACAACAAAGAGTTGAAGTTACTTCCCCTTGAAGAGTTGTGCAGTAAAGTAAACGGTGTCTGGAACCTTTCAAGTAACCAGGTCTTTACAAATTGCTTGTTTAAGCCTTTAACACTCTGCATTATTCACTGGTGTTACTTCCCCTTCTCCAGTATATAGGGAACTGTTACATGCAATAGCCTATTTGCAATATTTACATTGAAGATGAGGACAACAGTCTGAACAATGTAAATAGTGCAAATAATTACAATACCTCATCTCAGAAATATAGACAGATATGCAATAGCTTAGTTCTCAATTTCATTTAAGGTCTTTTTTGTTGTTGCCATAGGATAATATGACAACACAATATTGGAAAAATGAAATAAAATCAATAAATAAAATAATAATAAAGAATACAAAAAAGAAATACATTTTCCCATGATGCTAGTAATAAAGGAACTAGAAAATTTATTACCTCACTTGGCTTTGCCAAATGATGAAAATGATTTTAAATAGTTTACAATATGACAGTAGAGTGACTTCACAAAATACATTTTGTAAAATTATTTTCGCTCTGTATATATATATATATATATATATATATGTATGTATATATATATATATATATATATATATATATATATATATATATATATATATATATATATATATATATATATATATATATATATATATATATATATATATATATATATATATATTTCACCATTTCACCCCAAGGAAAGCAAACAAAGCCATTGAGACACAAAGGGCTACTGAGTGTGAATAGATATAAGAAAAAGAAAACATTATTAAGGAGATAGAACAATAAAAGAACATAAATTAAGAAGACAGAAGATAATGATTGACACTGCATTTAAATTTTTGAAGATCAAAGTTGACTGGAAGACGAGAAGCCGGAACAGATTTGCACAAGTGAGAAGTGCAAAAAAAGAAACTGAGCATAGAACTTATGGTTACATCTGGCAATTTCAACTATAAAATGATGAGACCTAGTTGCCATTCTAGTACTGTGCTTGAATTCATAAAATCTAGGTACCTTAGAGGAAAGAAAGTAATTTTTATTTCACAAATACAAAAATGTGGCACCAAGTCAAAAGGGGGGATGTAGGAAAGCTGGTCTTGAATCTGTCTTATCTTAAACTTAGCTAGCTACAATTACTGACCAAAACATACCACAGTATTGTTACACCTCAACAACACATTCTTACTACAGCCACCATAATACCTCAAGGTCTCTATGTAGTCCTAACTAGTTCCCATATGTACAATTTGTCTGTATCGGGTAGGGAATAAAAATAACAAGATTTAAAAATTAAACTCGAATAAATATTTACAATGATTGCAAACACAGTTCATTAGAACAATGAAAGTATTTATAGAAAAAGCACAAGATGGTTGGTCTCTAAGAACTGAACTGCTGTGTCCATATATGTCATAGACAAAGGAGAGATCGTTTATGCTTATATTTCACAAGGACATCTGGTCCCAAAACATAGTGGTCATCATTTTTCCTGCCAAGCAACTTTATTTACCTTTCATATATTTCATAGGGACTCTAGACATCAAACTGAGAAAGAGGATGTGACTTTCAAAATAGACTTTTTTTTATGTACTGGAGAGTTCATTAAATATATATATATATATATATATATATATATATATATATATGACTTTAAGTATTCTTATAATTCAACTTACTTCTATATAGAAGATTATTAATAAGCAATCAATAGACTGATTAATTCCTAACAGATATTTTAAATGAGCAGCCAATTTGCAGATGACATAGTAGCTGATATTTTAAATGAGTAGACAATTTGCTGATTAATTCCTAATACATATTTTAAATGAGTAGACAATTTGCTGAATAATTCCTAATACATATTTTAAATGAGCAGCCAATTTGCTGATTACTTAGTAACAGATATTTTAAATGAGCAGCCAATTTGCTGATTAACTCATAACAGGTATTTTAAATGACTAGCCAATTTGCTGATTATCTCCTAGTATATATTTTAAATGAGCAGCCAATTTACTGATTAACTCCTAACAGATATTTTAAATGAGCAACCAGTTTGCTGATTACTTACTAACTGATATTTAAATGATAAGCCAATTTGCTGATTACTTACTAACCAATATTTTAAATGAGCACCCAGTTTGTTGATTATCTCCTAATAGATATTTTAAATGAGTAGCCTATTTGCTGTTTAATTCATAACAGATATTTTTAGACAAGTTAGTTTTTAGCAATGAAAATGCATTTGTATTGGTAAGAAAATTGTTCCAATAATTATCCCCTTTGATGTATTTGTTATATTGCTGAAAAGATTTGATAGTTTTTGGCTAGTTGTTTACCATGATTAAGGTTCTAGAAAGTTTGTAGAAGGCTTTCTGTGGAAATTGTATTCTTTGAATATGTCTAAATTACTGTTTAATCCTTAGATTTCTTTACTATTACACACACACACACACACACACACACACACACACACACACATACATGTTTGTGCTTTTTGTGAAAAATATGAAATAATATATATATTTCATATTTTTTTTCAAAGTGTGAATTAAATATAATTGTTTTAATGATATCTTCTTAACCATTTTTGTAGGGCAACCTTGGTGTCTTCTACATTACAAACATTCGTGTTGTATGGAATGCCACAATGAACGAATCCTTCAATGTCAGTATTCCTTATTTACAAATGGTGAGTTATCTTTTAGTTAAACTTTAATTCCTTCTATTCAGTTTCTATCTATCTATACTGTATATACTCATGTAACACGCAATTTCATAACGGTAAAAGAGAATGATAAAAGCATCATTAATAACACTACTTGTTGCATAAATGCATACAACCATAAACAAGTGAACAAGAAACAGCTAAACATCTTATAAATGAAAACAATGAAAAAGATACATATTTGCTATGTCTGCATTTTATAATACAATACTATGTGAATATTACATGCATTATTATTGGATACAGTTAAGTAAAACATCAGTTTTATGAAAATCATGTTTATTATAAAATAAAATTGTACTTTACAGTAAATGGATATATAGTTTGGTCAATGGTATAGACAGATCCAGTAGTACATACACTAATTTTAAATCTTGTGTATTATGTGTTTTCCTTAAAATTAACTGAAAAATTAGGTCTTCAAAAGTCACAGGATACGTGAGTATATACGGTAGATAAGTAGATAAGGAAGATTAAAGTATATTCAATAAAAAATAAAAATAATCAGACTCACATGCAATTCAATTTTCACTTTAATAAGTAAATATATCTGTAAGTTCACAGCCTCTTGATGAAAAAAGCATTTCATTTACACAACAAATATATATTTTTCAACATAATTTCCTTATTGTCAATGCATTTAAGTCAGTGGTGAATATGTAGATACATCAATAAGTCCATGGAGAATATCAGTTGCAATGGTTGAACATTATACAATGAATATTTCAGATCAAATGAATATTAGAGAGTTTTGTAATGAATATCACTACAGAAAGTGGAATTTGTAAGCAGTGTTCAAATTCTGTCTAGTGTGTTATGTTTACTTTTGCATAAATGCTTTTGGAAAAGGCATGAAACCATCTCTTCTCCCCCACCCCCTTTACTGGACCCTCTGGCTGTGGGTGGCCACCAGTCTAATGGAAAGAAAAATTCTGAATTCCAAACCACAGAAAAGGCAATGGGAACCACTATGCTATATTTCTGAAGAATGCATGGCAATTTGATGATGATAAAGAAGAGGAATGTCATGGAGAGAGAAAAACTATTTTGAATTCCAAACCACGAAGAAGGCAATGGGAAACTACTACCTTTCCCAAGAATACATGGCAGGTCAAAGATAATAAAGAAAAGTAATCTGGAGAGTCAGGATCACTGATGTCCTGAAGAGAGAAATGCTTGTCTGAATTCCAAACTGCCAAACAGGCAACAGTAAATCACTACACTATATTTCCCAAGAATACATAGTAATTCAAAAAAAAAAACTAAAATCTGTAGAGAGTCATGTTCACCAACTTCCTGAAGAGATAAAGTATTAAAAAAAGAAAATAACAATGTGTTAGGTTAAGGACTTATTGATATGCTTACTCATATATTGTCACTGTAAAGTGAAATAAACTGAGACTCAGTTAAAATGACATAATCTGAACATAATGTTTAAAGCCTCTGCTTTCTTTCAGAATTGAAACTTTTATTAAAATCTAAATGTCTTAATTTATTATAAAATATTTTCTAATCTTTTCAGAAAAATCTTAAAATTCGGGACTCCAAGTTTGGAATTGCTCTTGTTATTGAAAGTTCTTCACAGGTAAGTTGGAACAAATCATTAAGAAATTGTAGAAGAGTCTTTTCTGCCTATTATAATTTTCAGTAGTCTTCTTATCTGTTCCAAGCAAGATAGCAGATATCTGAAATTGTAGATAGTAACAAATCCTATATATACTATGTTTTTTTTAATATATATACTAGCAGCATGGCCCGGTGTTGCCTGTGCTTGATTAAAAAATCGTACGACTCATACAGCAATCGCTATCACTTGATTTAAAATATTTTTTGCCCTTCCTTGCCTTTTTTTTAAAGGAGTGCCCTTTTGTCATGTTGATGTTGCTACATGTCTTACTTCTTGGTATATCTCACACTGCAAATTTTTTCTAAGCTCTATACTAAACATTAAATCTGTTACGAAAAAGAACTAAACAAATGAACACAAAATGATCAGCTTTAAAAAAGGACTCGTAACTGGAAAAACCAAATGAAAAAAGAATGTTAACAACAAATACTTTTTCCCACCTAACCCAGTTCTGTGGAATCAGAATCAACGTTGAGTTTAAGCAAGCAAATGAGCCAATTGGAGTAAAGTGCCATGCAGATTTAAATTTTTCCCACTTGTGACAAATGCAGCTATCGATTTTTTTTTGCATGCTAGTTAACATTCGTGTCAGTCAGCTGTTGGCTCTCACATTGGCCAATAGAATCTTCCTGCCTATTCGTGGAAGCCAGCTATAGGTTCTCACTCTGGCCAGTATAAATTAGCTGCAAACTACATGAAAACTGCCGTAGAAGCATGAAAAAATTGATTATTTCCACTATTGATGGGAGTTGGGAAATGCAAAGTCGGTCTTGGCCTTCCCACTAACTTTGTGCATGTAAATTTTGGTGCAATTCTGTCGAAAATTGCGGCCATGCATTTGTTACACACACACACACACACATATCCTTTTATAGATATACATATATACCTATAATACAGTTTATTTTATAAACTAGGCCTAATAGGAGATTAACAACAAAAACTAATAGCAAAATAAGACAATTTGATATCTCACTACTGAAACCACAGCATACAAATGAATCAAGGATAAAAAGGCTTTGACAACATAGTTTTTGATTTCTCTATTGCTGCAACCAAAATTCTGGTTTTTGTATGTTTTTTCCATCTTATATTAAAATGTTAACAAAGACAATCCATCATTGGCAGGATTTCATGCCTATAGAGTTCAAACTACCCCATACTTAGTTTGTGTCATTAAAGTTTTGAACAGTATAGGATATTTATTTCTGCAAGTACTGAAATTATGGCTAGTGATTTTCCAAGTATAGCTTAGATGTGGCACTAGGCCGAAAGTAGGGGGAACCTAGTGAGGATCAAACTCACTACTCAGTCGTAAGTTCTAGTGAGACAAGATGTGTGAAACGAGGATGTGTTGGAATAGTTGTTAAATCAGTGGGCAGCGATAGGAAAAGTAGAAATCTTGCTTTCAAATTCTGCTGGGCCCTAAAATACGCAGTGCTTAATATTTCATTATGCATCCCTACCACATATGCTGCAATGCATGATGAGATACAGAATCTTTAGGGTCAGTGAAAGTTTTTGATTATTTTATGATTACTATTTGTGAGTCATAGGTTGATTAAACAGAGTAGAGAAGGAGATGATGATAGGAAAGTAGGGGAGGAAGAGAGGAAAAGAGAGAAGTAAAAAAAAAACAACAAAAATGAAACAAAGAGTGCTAAAAAATTATTAATGATACAATGTTTCATTGAGGAATTTCATCAGCTTGCTCTTTTCCAACTTTGGCATTCAGATCTCTCATGATGATTGCAATTTCCTGTGATTTGCATTGATCCTTTGGCATTGTCTTGTGTGCAGTAAAACTTTTCAATTTCTTTTTCCTTACTTTATGCTATCAGTGCATATACAACTACAATTGATATATTAAAAGTTTTACCTTTCAGTTTGACTTCAAGAATCCTGTTAGATAATCGAATGAAAATTTACTCATGCTTCACCAAAGAGAAGTCTTAGTGAAAAGGCGTAAGCAGCCCTACAGCAAAGAAGGTCCAGAGAGAGAGGGTTAAAGGGAGATAACTGCAGATTTAAAGTCAGAACATTATCATTGATAACTCTCTCTTCCAATTTGCAAACCCTAGTTACTATATTCTTAATACTTGATATAATGCAAACATATCATAATGATAGAATCGGTCAATAATTATTTATGACTATTTATACTGGGGCTCATGCATGCAATTACAAGTAATCCATAATAATATTTTAAATTTTGAAATCATTTTTATTTTTGGCATATGAATTTTTTTAAACTCTTTCTAAATCTTTGATTGTTTTTCAATCATTCCACTTTACCAGCTATTCTTTTCTGTCACACCGTTTAGGAACCACTGGCTTAGAAAACCAACAACAATAACATCGAAGAAAAACTAGTTAAAAATCAATAATATCACTGTTTCATCTAAGAAATTCAGACTAGACTATTATGTTTGCATCTACTAATGAGGTGTAAACAAACAATATGGCAAAAAGAAAATTCGCTAAGGAAGAATAGAGCTGTATGACTAAATTTTGCTTGTTATGATGAAAGGTGAAAAAGTAAGATGAAAAAAGCCCAAATTAATAATGTTACAAATATATTGCTTCTTCATTTATGTGCCATGTCCCTTGAAAACATCGATGTTCATGGCTCTCCATAACTTCCTATTGTGTGTTACTCTAACCATCTCTTTTACCATCCCCCCCTTTGTACTTTATTTGTTGTGTATTCACATGATCTTCTACTTGCTATTTATCTCTACTTCAATGTATCCAGCAAGTGTTAAATTCTCCAAGCTCCCTTTCCTCATTATGTGCCCCAGAAATTTTGACTCTCTCTGATTATTAGTATAACTGTTCTAATTCCTATTTTACTTAAGACTGTTGCTTTAATTCTCTTCTTAATATGCTGTCCTGGGTATGATGATAAACTACATCCAGCAGCAAGGCCTCTGATTGGGAGATTGGAGGTTTTGAAAAGCATGGAATGATCACTTAATTGCTGTTGTTCCCAGAGCCACCCTGACCTATTAAGGAAAATAGGGAACCCCCAAACAGAATCAAAAGACTATGAAAGTATAAAAATACATTTTTATACTAAAAATACCAGCAATACATTATTATATATAAAAAAAATATTACCAACTACAGTAAAACCTGTCAAACTTACCAAAGTTGGGACCACAAAAAAGTTGGTAAGTTTGACAGTATTGGTAAGTTTGACAGAGAAAAATTTTTTAGAAAATTCACCTAATAACCCCCTAGACACGCTTTTTAAAATCCAAATCAAATAAAGTTTTCTGTACCGGACAACTTTTTTCTTTCTTAATACTTGCTTTTCTTTGATTGATTAATGATTTATATAAACTATGTATAGTCATCCGTGTCATTTCACGCTGTGAAATGTATAATAAAAGTTCTGCTATAACTTCTAAAGACTTTTTTGTGTTATTATAGGTGTTTTAGTTTCTTTAATCTTCTTCTGACTCATTACTCCCCAATATTGTCGATATTTTTCGAGTTTTCTATCTCATAAACTTCCTCTTCAATTTCATCGTTTTCGTGTACTCTATTGAATTGAAGCCCTTTAAATCTAACCCATCTAATATTTTCCCTTTTTCGATAAACCTTATGTAATTTGAGTAGTCTTCGAGGTGTTCTTCGTCGATATTGACATTAAAATCGGTGTCAGTATTTTTTTCTCCTTGAGGTGTTTAAAACAATTCTTTATCATTTTTTTTTACTCACTTTTTCCCATGCCATATCTGTAAAAGTGATCACATCAGCAAGATTTATTTTTTTTATAGCTCTCATAAACACTCTCATCACCTTCAATCATTTCCAGGATTTTATCAAATTTAATTCGATTGAAATGGCTTTTGAAGGACTTAATAATTCCTATATCCATAGGTTGTAAGTCACCAGTACTATTTCTTGGGAGAAAACAAGCTCAATATTAGAATAATTTTTTTAGAGATTTATGAGCTGGACAATTGTCAAGCAAAAGTACAACTTTTCTGTTGAAACGAACAAGATCTTGATTCCATTGATCTAGCCAATCAGAAAAAATAGTAGACGTCATCCATACTTTTTTGAACAAAACATAATTTACTAAGTTTATCCCTGTAAAAAATTTTTAAAACATCTTGGTTTCTTAGTTTTACCGATCAGCATCGGCTTATGTTTGATGGATCCTGTCATATTCGAACAGAGCATTATGGAAACTCTATCTTTAAAATTTTTTATATCCTCTTCGTGCTGTTTGGCAAACTGATTTAGATGGAATCAATTTATAAAATAATCCGTTTCATCGATATTAAAGAAATTTTCTCACCATAGATGCTGATTTTTTCGTCAATTTGGCTAAGAAATTCATCGTGGTTTTTTGTTCCTCACAGTATGTTTCTCCATGTAGAGGTTTGAGAGACAGTTTGTGTTTTTTTTTAAAGCTCTGGAGCCAACCATTTGAGGCTTTAAAATCTTTTCTATTCCATTATCTTGTGCAATCTTTCTTGATTGTGTGATTATTGTAAAATCATCAATAAAACCCCTTTTGAGTTTATTCAAAATATAACTTGATAAAGGCCATCAATAATTTTATATTTTACGGCCTGTTCGATTTATTTTTTGGCAATGTATGACTCTCACTTTTGATTTTACTCTTAGAATTTATATAATTTTGGACAGATCTTCCGTCAATCTTAACTTTGAACTTTTTAGAGAAAAAAGGGGGCGATTTTAGCCGCCTTTTTCCTTGGATGTTTGTTTTTATAGTCCACTATTCTGCTTTTTGTTCAATTGTCAGTATAGTTGGCTTTTTTTCGATCATAAGTTGCTTTTTTGAAGAATGGCATGATTTTTTTTCCAAAAATTTATGTAAGTTTGGTAAATGGTAAGTCTGACAGGTTTTTTTTAGTAAATCAAACAAGGCCCTCAAAATTCAAGTAAGTTTGACAGAACGTAACTTTGAGGGTGCATAAGTTTGACAGGTTTCACTGTATACCCATTTATCATAGAATTACCAACAATACCTATTTATCATAGAATTACTAACAATACCTATTTATCATAGAATTACCAACAATACCTATTTATCATAGTATTACCAACAATACTTATTTATCATAGAATTACTAACAATACCTATTTATCATAGAATTACCAATAATACTTATTTATCATAGAATTACCAACAATACCAATTTATCATAGAATTACCAACAATACTTATTTATCATAGAATTACCAACAATACTTATTTATCTCTAGTTGAAGGCATACAATTACATTCAAAATATTTACATTTCCCAGAGATTGATATGCCACTAAACAAAATCAACCAACCAACCAACCAACATGAAAGAACTCTTTCATGATATTAATCCATATAATATACTACAATTTCTTAAAGAAATCAAAATGTATTCCAAAATATAACTTCAAGAAGACTACAGCATAAAACACACATATCACCACCTCCTAGTAATTATATCTACACAAGCATGTATATGCACAAAAGCTGTGTATCATCTACCATGTATTCAATTGTGAAAGTAGAATAACATATTTTTATTACTTCAAAGCTCACAAGAAAATTAAATTTTGGCATTAAATGACCTATTAGGAGTTGATATGCCATTAAACATTTCACTGCCATATAGGAGATTAGATATTATATAACAGTTCAACTATTTTCATTGTTTTTAACAAAATTTTCCTATATCTTAATACTTTGCTTAGTTTCTGGAATACATCTTTCACTATTCCTATATGTCTTCTGATTTCTGTGACACATTTCTATTGCCTGTTACAACACAACCCAGATAGTTGAATTTCTGGATTTGTGTGATTTTAACATCCCAAGTACCTCATATATTAGGCTGTCTCATTTGCTGATAACCGTACATTTTACTTTCTTACAGTTAACAGTTAGTCCTTTCTTCTTGCTTTTCCTTTACTACCTTATTTGTGAGTTCTTTTAGTTTTCCTTCTCCATCTGCCATCAGCCATATCATCTGCAAGTTCTTATGATCTCTGAAAAATAAAGAAAATGTCTTTTATAAGTAGAGTCAATAAGCACTCAAAGTTCTGTGATATTTGATCTCATCAACCAGTGGCTGTTTACCTGGTCGTTCTGGTTATTAGGAAGAGGTGCATTTTGAAAGAAATTGTATATTGTGTATCTTTTCTTGATCATATGTTCAATGTGTACCTTTGTTAATGAATGTTTTTTCATAATAATTTAATGCAACTGAATTTTTAACACAGGTAACTGTTTAGACATTCATAGAAATTAGCTTCCTATCCCTAACTATTTTTCTCTCCATCTTGATTTCCATATCTGTAAGTCTCAATTTGGAAATTTTCTATCATAATTTTCATTATCTGATCTTCATCCATGACACTTTTGTGGCTATGCTACTGATCACTTAACCTGCTAATTTATATTTCAGAGTGGTTCCTATGTTCTTGGTTTTCGTATTGACCCCAAAGAAAAACTAGAAGAAGTTTCCAAAGAGATAACAAGCCTTCTTCGTGTGTTCCGAGCGGACCCTCAGTTTGGCGTGCAGTATGAGCTGGAAAGTAAGGTAATGTAATGCATTCTTTAATTTTATGTAGAGTTCTTAGGTTGAACCTCCTCAGACTAACATCCTTATCACTTCAGTATTTTACTACTACTTCAATGCCATGTAGAAGGATAGATGGAGCATAGCAGTTCAGCACTCTTTTCTTTGTTTCTAACAAAATTTTGGAAATTTGGACCATTGTGCCTGCAAAAAAAAATGAAGTGTCAAAGGATACTTTTCCCCTTGACACCCCTTGTCCAAATCATTTGGCAATTAGCTGATGTCTTGCCAAACATTCCAATAAACAATATAAAAAATAGTGTTTATTATTTTTGACACTCTGTTTTTTTGTGGTCACAAAGGTTCAAGTTTACCAAAATTTTCCTATATCTTAATACTTTCTTTAGCTTCTTGAACTTTTATATTCTGATGCATTTTCATATTTCTGTCAAATTTTCCATCATTTATTTTCAAAATGTTGATTTCACAAGATCGTAGATTATTATTTCAAATGCAAAATTCAATCTTCAATGAATGTGCTACTCTCAGTGGCTCCTCTCTATGGCGGTGCTCTCGTTTATTGAATTTAAACAGAATATAAAGTGAGTGAATTCATCCTATGGGGCCTGCTATCATTTCTCAACATCATTTCTCTTTAAATGAACTTGCATCTCGCAATCATATTTCTATCAGAAATAAAAACTTGAATCATTTTGACGGCAGATGCAACTGACTGGACATCTAATACTTTCTCCCTCTCCTCAGGCCAGAAACAACTGATTTTAGTTGTAAAGGCCTTTTATGGTTTTACCCAGTACAAAGCTCGAGAGTCACTCAATGTAGAGTGTTAAAGTTGAAATCATAATGATGAATGAAGTATCAGATATGAAAGTGAAGATTATGAGGATAAAGATGATAGATAATGATTGACCCTTGATTTAAAGAGACCAAGTTTAGAGTGATCAGGGATGCACACAGTTTCCCCTTCCTTCAGCCAAGAAACATCTGTATTTATTTTATGAGTTCACTCAATACAAAGTTCAAGAGTCACATGAATGGAAGACAAGGTGGTAAGAAGTGAAGATTATGAGGATAAGGAGGATAGATAATGATTCACTCTTGATTTGAAGAGGCCAAGTTTACAGTGGTCAGGGAAGCACCTATGGTGGAGTCAGTTCCACAAAGTGGCAATTCTTGGGAAAAATTTACATTTGGAACATAGGAGAAATGAGGGTGATTCAATTCCATTGAAGTGGTATGATGTGTCCTAGCTGTAAAAGTCTGAATTGGTAGAACTAGAGAATAGAGCTCATCTGACATTTGCTTTGGAAATATCAACAGAGTATCAAATTGCTTGTCTCTGGGAAAGAGGGTTAATCTTGACTTGATTAAATTAAGTAGGAGTTGTTATCTATTCTCCTCTGTCACTTGCTTTCAATATGTATTGTGTGTGTCAAATTCTCCAAGCCATCTTGGGTTCTATAAATTCTAATCCTTTTGTATTACAGAACCATAATTCAGGTACTGACTTTTTTTCTCTTGCAGATATCTAAAGTACAACCTTCTGTCATGCAAAATGTATTTGATGATGTAGAGATAGATGAAGAAGGACAGAGTGATGCGTTTGCTGTATGTATCAATATTTTTTCTTTGGTTTATTGCTGATCCATATTATTTCTGACTAAAGTGTTTTTTGCCTTGAAAATTATTTTCCTCAGTGTGATCAAATGTGAATATTTAACCATCTCGAAATGATTTTAATACAGAACACTCTTCTTCAAGAAATCAGAAATGTAGATGATGCATAAAAGAAATCATGAAAAAGTATTTTGCCAGTTTTAGTTTCAGTATGATTATTTGAATTGAGATCAAATATGGATTAGAATTTGATCAAATAATGAACAAATAAGAAAGGTTTATAAATTTAACATATTTCGCTTTTATTTAAGCTCCTTCAGAAATATTCTGGAAAAGAAAGTTTGGTACTTTTAGTGCTGTGCTGTTTGCTTTTCATTGGTCAGGCAGACCTCAAGTGTCTTTGTCTTGTGGTGTAGTGTGTGTGTGTGAGTGTGCATGTCTATATTTGAATTCTAGTGGGATTTTTGTGTAAGTCTGGTCATGTTTGTGTGTATAATTCCTGAAGATGGTAATGGGAAACAAAACAGAATTAAATGTACCAGAACTTTCTGATGAAGCTAAAATAAAAATGAAACATTAAATTTATAAATGTTTCTTATTTGTTCCATATTCTCGTACATGATTATTTACAAAATTCTATATATAAATTCATTTGCTCAAAGCTACCTACATTGCTACAGTATACATAACACTTTTATTGTCTCTTTTATCATTTTTTCTTTTTTTAGGATGTAAGCAATCAGGGCTCTCTACAGATTCCTTTTCTTTATTATTTGTGAATTGCCATGACTTGTTAGGAAAGAAAGATAGTAAAGTGGTTTACCTTTGCTTTCTCCATGGTTTCTAAAGTAGTTTTTCTAGATTGGTTGCTTCCCAAGGCAAGAGAGCCCAGTCTCAAGTAAAGAGAAGGAATGTCAATATTATATTGATCAAGTAAAGAGAAGGAATATCAATATTATAATGATCAAGTAAAGGGAAGGAATATAAATATTATAATGATTAAAGAGAAGGAATGTCAATATTGATCAAGTAAAGAGAAAGAATATCAATATTATAATGATCAAATAAAGGGAAGGAATATCAATATTGTAATGATCAAATAAAGAGAAGGAACGTCAATATTATAATGATCAAGTAATGAGAAGGAATATCAATATTATAATGATTAAAGAGAAGGAATGTCAGTATTGATCAAGTAAAGAGAAAGAGTATCAGTATTATAATGATCAAGTAAAGAGAAGGAATATTTGTTATAATGATAAAAGAAAACAGAACAAAGATTTATAGGATAATGATAAAGCAAAAAGAAAAATACATTATGATTATAAAGCAAAGAGAATGAATATTTTTAGTATAATCCTTATAAGTTTGTGTATTTTTTTTACTTTAGTACATTAAAATTGCAAATCTTTTCATTTGGAAGATAAAGCAACCCCCAATCTAGTTGGGCCACAAGTTTCTGCTTAAGTTTGTAGTGGATTGTGAGGTGAAGATGTAAAGAACACATGTGGGTTAAAATTTCCTGCTAGCCAGTCCAGCTACATGAGAATGTTGGACTTCAATTAAGTCCAAAAAAGACAAAGAAAACAAGGAAGACCGATAATTATATACAAACAAATGTATGTATTAACATCAAGTTACAAGCACATGGACAGTTACATTGAGTTTGTGTGGTGAATATTATGTGTGTGTATTGTGGTGAGTGTTTTTATGTACATGTATTGGTATTGTTCTTAGCGTGTTCCCAGAATTTGGGAAACGCTGTATTGGTGAGAGCTCACATATTGGTATTAGCTGAAATGAAGAAAGAAGAGAAAATTATTACCTCACCTCCACACGAGGTGGTATACGGCCCAAGGCCTGAGGGAAAAAGAGAGGTCGAGGCAAAAGGTCACCCAGTATTTATAGCAAGAGGAGAGAGACCCCTGGTGAAGGATTAAGAAACTAAGGAGGAGCTAACTCCGACAAGTTTTATTTAATTAAATATAAATTGTCAAAATCAACTATCTGTCCATTTAGATCACTTTAGGTATAGTACTGATGACAATGATATATATTAATACTATAAAGGGTGCGATGGGTAAATTGTCGCCATTTTATATTTTTAATTTCACACATGCATGTTGTTTGTTTTTGATTTTGTTGACTGCACGCTATAGTAGGGTTGGTTTGGAACCATCTGTAAGAAAAAGAGCACCATGATGCAATTCACTCTGCAAGAAATTTGGAAACGGCATGCTGTACTGCTTGGCATTTGCACTGGGAGCTCCAATACAAACATTTCAGAGTGTCTGGGTATCAATCTGAGGTCAGTGCAGAAGATTCAGAAAGAGTTGGATGAGTCTACTGGTGATTACAAAGGTATGGCAGATCAGAAAACTCACTCTGATTGTTCTGATAAGAAAAGCAATCCTGAATTTGTTGGTGAGGGCCTCAGACTCAGCAGGGAGACCTACATCAAGTGACTCGGGGAGGTAGTGCTGCCTTGGGTCAAGAGGGTGGCTCCTGGAAGACCCAATGTCTGGCAACAAGACTCTGCACCATGCTGCACAAGCAGAAGAACCCAGTCATGGCTGTCAGACAATGTCTGTGACAACATCACCCCTTTTGAGTGAGAGACAAATAAAACTTCTTGTAACACCCAAGTTGAACTGAGGGCAAGGATTATGGGAGCATTCACCAACTTAAACAAGGAGACCATCCAGAAGAGTTGCAGAAGATTCCGAAGTCATCTGGAGGGTTTGATTGAAACCAATGGCCATTTTATTGAATAAGTTTACTTTTTAGCATTTCAAGATATTTTTGTATAATTTTAGTAAATATACCTGTTAAAATGAGATGTCAGTGTTATTTTCATTTTTGTGGTATTTAGACGACAATTTATCCATCGCACCTTGTGTGTGTGTATATATATATATATATATATAAAATAAAATTTGGAAAAACATCTAATGTTTTTATATATTTATATGTAATATTTATAATACATGTATGATTACAGAGAATTATTAAAATTATTTTACTTACAGAAAAAATCATTTTACTTTAACTGGTTTCGCTTTTAGCTTTTCAAGCATGCTGTAAATGTTTATTAGATTCCCACAAGAGGATGCTTATTCCTTAAATACTTTTTTTTAAATCAACACCTACTCTTCTCCTCTACACACACAAACATGTGACAGCCTCACAATCGGACAGGCAGTCAACACGAGGGTTGACATTTCAGCTCCTTTACTTTTTTGGCCACAAAAGTAACATTTTTCTCTTAACACTCATAAGCAAAATTTGATGTAAGAAAACTCAAGACACTTCTTTTATTTTTCAAATAAATTATCTGGACACTCATTACAGACATTATATAAACATAGAAGAAAGACTGTATACAATTTGTTTATTCTTTAACATATTCTGTCTGATTCCAATCCATACATTTGATCCCAACTCACAGTTTTACTCAGTATTACTTTCTCCCATGTCTCCAACGCCACATAACAACCACTGTCAATCAAATAATAAATAATACTTGTTTTGTCATTTACATATCTTGCAGTTTCTCATTTTCTACCAGTATATTTGTATATATAAATGCTAGAGAGTTTATACTTATTTACACAGAGTTATAACTCCCCTAAAAACTGAAAGAAATATTCTATATCTTCATTTAACAAATACTTTTTGAAGATGTTTTGTAACTGTTGTCTGTTTAGGGATTAAAATTTGAAAACTTAGGATCACTTCCAACTACTGTCTGTAACACAGACCCATAACCCATTTGAAAATAACTGATCTAAAAGTCTTATGAATATTTTTCTTTTTCTCTATTCACAGGCTTATTTTGCTGATGGAAACAAAGAAAGGGACCGTGAACCAGTTTTTTCTGATCATTTAGGGTTGGCAATTGAGAAATTACCAGAGGGAGTCACTGTGCAGAGTCTGTGGAGTGTGCTGCCATAATTTTTTTCCATGTAATTGCCAGGATAGAAAGTGTCTGGTTCATGAGAGAATTAATGCTGCATCCAAATTTTGTTTGGACAATTGTATACCATTTTTGATGGTAACATATTTTATCTGATTCCTTCTTCAACCTGAGAAATATAAGGTTTTTCTTTTCATTTTTATTATAGATAGTACACTTGACAATGTTTGAAGGACAAATAGCATAAAAATGAAGTTCAATTGTGCAAATACAATTTATGATGTCAGTGACACTTAACAAAATTATAGATTAACACTAGTTGTTGAAACAGCAAGAGGCAATGTCATTTGCTTTTTATTTGAAAAGTATAATTTCGCGCGCACACACACACACACACACACACACACACACACACACACACACACATATATATGTGTGTATTTGAGCAGCATATCTTCATTCAAGAATATTTGGTTGAATAATCTGGACATGTCTATTTATTTTTGTATTTAATCCTCTCAGATTGATGGATCAACTTCTTTGTGCTTTTTCAAAACTGAGTAAGAAAGACGCCGTAGTTTTGGTTATTTGATTTATTTTTCCAAGTAAATTCAATTGGGAAAATGAGTGATGTAACCAAAACTACGGCGAAGTTGATCCATGAATTTGAGAGGATTAAATATAAAAATAAAAAGACATAATATCTAGATTAGATATTCAACCAAACATGCTTGAAGATATATATATATATATATATATATATATATATATATATATGTTATGGTTGATTCTTTGTACCACGGGTGATGGTCCAAGGTAGAACCAATAAAAAAGAACTTGAATACAGATATGGAATAACACAGATATATTACAAACAGGAATATATACAGAGAGGTAGAAAAGTGTTAGTACGAACAATCAGGTTTAGTAGTAATTGTCTGAACATCACTCTGTTTCGGACTGCCTATGACTCGACTGACTGACTCCTGACAGACTTCACTCCAGACTTCAGACTGAACTCTCTGCTTCCTCTTGAGGCGCAGTATTTATTACATATGGGCTAGTCCATTATGTTATTATGGGTAAGGTCCCATAACAATATATATATATATATATATATAGTAAAACTTTAATGGAGGACAAGGTGTCCATTAAAAATCAATTTCATTAAAAAGGTTATTTTTTATAATTTTCTAATGTAAAAAAAATCAATATATTATATAGTACTGCACAATATAAAACTAACATAAAGAATAGGTAATATATATATACATAAATTTCTATCTGTATTTATATATATATATATATATATATATATATCTTTTATTACAATGTTGGATATTTAATAACAAAGATGATGGAAAGAAAAAAAATATAGATGAATTTGACTCGATTGAAAAAAGTTTTAAAAATCCTTTAAAAAATTTTGAAACTCCCAGCATCTTTCATTTATGCATATGTGTAGTCACGACAACATAAACAAACTCACTCTGATGTATTACTAACAGTTGAAATGCATCAGAAAAACCTTTTTACAATTTGTTATACACCTTTTCTTTCAAATCTGTTCTTGATATATAAAAATTTATAAATCGTTATCCCATGTGTATATATATATATATATATATATATATATATATATATATTTATTATGGAAATAAAAATGGCAAGACGAACTTTACCATTCATGATTAAAAGGGAAAAAAAAATTGTCCATGAATAATAATGAAATATCTTAAGACTCGGTACAATTTGGATTTAATTAGGATATTGAATTCATTACTGTTGATTAAAAGCAAAATAAAATCAACACATGAAAATATAACATTCCTCCAGTCTTACTTAGAAAATAAGGTCTGTCCTCTGTCTATTTTATTTAAAATAAAAAAGGCCCATTTACATCCAAGACAGAAGATAGAGAGGTCATTTATCAAGAACTTTTTGGACAAATTAATTCAATTCTGTATATTCTGTATTTACCTTTGGACGAATCAGTGGACAACCATATTGTGATAAAATCCATTTTTCAGGGTATGTTGGAATTGTACACGAGCGAAGTTGTAAAAGACTGTCAACTCAGTTCCACAACAAGTTGCAATATTTAATATACAAGAAATTTGGTTGCTCTGCCATTTCTGATGTTGTTGGAAATGTTCTTAATCTGTCTTCCTGCCAGTTGTCTCTGATTGAAAGTACAATACTGGGTCATAGATTGGACTTCCCTATTCCACCAGTTGTTGTCAGGTCTGAAGAAATATTTTCAGAATTTGAAATTCTTAATGACCAAATATGGAGACTTAAACCTGTTTCTGACAATAAAGTTAAGGACCCCAAGGCCAAAATTAATGATCTTGCCCATTGTTATGTCAGAATATCTATATCATACTCTGAATTCAAATGGCGCAGAGAACACTACTCAGTAATTAAATCACTGCGTCAGAATAAATCATTAGTAATCGCGAGACCTGACAAAGGTTCAGGTGTTGTACTCAATCAATGTGATTACATTGATAAAATGATGACAATTTTAAGTGGTTCATCAAAATTTATCAAATTAGGTCCTGTGGACAGTTTTGATTCAACAGTGACAGTAGAAAATAAATTTTAGAGAAAATTAGTCAAATGGGTAAAAAGTGGTATCCTACCTTCTGATATAGCTAGCGACATTAGATCATCAGGCTCAATTCATTCCCGCTTATACAGTTTGCCTAAAACCCATAAGGCAGGTATCCTACTTAGAACAATTCTGTCTATGGTGGGGGTCAGCTCAAAAGATGGTTGCCAAATGGATTGACACGCTATTACAACCTGTATTAGAATATTAGAGTTCGTCATTGCATAAAAGACTCTTTTTCTTTTGCAAGAGATATTCAAATCTGTAATTCAACTAATAAATTTATGTGTTTGTTCGATATCAAGAACCTTTTACCTGTGTCCCTATTTCAGAAACAATAGACATCTGCACAAATTTGCTATATCGTAGCTGGATATTTCCACCTGCCGTTCCTAAAAATATTTTTGTCGAGTTGCTAAAATTTGCTGTGACATCTGTTGAATTCAGTTTCAATAACATAATATGCAAACAGATCGATGGGGTTTCTATGTGTTCAGTCCTGGTGCCCACATTGGCAAATATTTTTGTTGGTTTCTATGAAAATCATTTATTTTCTGAAACTGCCAAACCACTAATGTACCATCGCTATTTTGATGACACATTTTGCCTATTTGAAAATATAACGGAGACAAGAATGTACTTTTCACTTCTTAATGGTATGCATCCAGCATTAAGGTACAGCATGGAAATTGAAACTAATTCCACTATACCTTTTTTGGATGTTTTAGTAACCAAAACACCATCTGGTTACATTACATCAATTTATCGCAAACCAACTTTACTGGGACTATAAATTCAATGGGATGCATTTTTCCCTAACCAAACGCAAAAGAAAACCTTATTACACACAGAGCTTTGATGATCTTCAGAAACCAAACTAGATGAAGAGCTGGAAAACAATTAAGGTTCTAGCTAATAAGGAGTACCCTTTAGATATTATTAAGTCGGTCATGAAAAAGAAAATCTTAAATTTCTCTAAACCTAGACTGAGTATGGTTTCTAAATGTCCTGTGTATTTGTGTTTGCACTGGTTGGGTTCAGTAAGTGGTAAATTTGCCAAACAAATCAACTCAACAGTTAAAAATTGCTATTTTTCTGCCAATGTGTGTATTGTTTTTTTTACCAGGTCTCCTTGGTTATCTGCTCGGAAGGACGTTCTGCCTCCCCATCATATTAATTATGTAATATACTGTTTTGGATGTAGTTGTGGAGCCAACTACATAGGTAGAACTACCTTATGTTTAGACACATGGATTAACCAGCACATACCCGGAAGAATTAGGAATGGTACATTCCAATCTGTTGACAAGATCAGGAACACATATGGCTCAACCATTGCTGAGCACATTATAAACAATCCAAGTTGTGCCACAAATTTCAGCATTGACTCATTTTCCATCCTTAGTCATGCTCATTCTGTGTTACACTTAAAGGTATTGGAAACAATCTATGTCATGTCCGGGCAGCCCTCCCTCTGTAAACAGAGGGAATGTCTGTTTGGGCTTGACATGATTTTCATCTGATTTTTCCACCTTTATTTTATCACATGCTTCTCATGTTTTTATATTGCAATATTTAGTCTTCCCTCAATTTCAGCTCTGTTGAGTGACGGCGAAAATGGTCAGTTGGTCAATTTTTTTTTTCCTTTTAATCATGAATGGTAAAGCTCGTCTTGCCATTTTTATTCCCATAATAAAATTTTGTACCCCCAAGAAAATAATGATATATGTGTGTGTGTGTGTGTGTGTGTGTGTTTGTATTTAGGCACCAAATGTTCTTTAAAGCAACCATTATTAAAGACAACAGATATTTTGTGTTGATTAATTTTACTAATCAACTTTTCCAATTTGCAAAAAACTCCTTCTCAGACAAGAAGAAAATTCTGTCAGAAATTGTCCGAAGTTCATTTCAGAAGAAAATATATACAAGAATATATGCAAGAAATATGATCCAAGCTTTTGACTTAGACATTTTGGGTTGATTAATTTTACTGATCAACTTTTCTTGTACTCTTCTTCCAAAATGAACTTCAGACAATTTCTGGCAAAATTTCCTCCTCTGAGAAGAATTATTTGTAATTTGAAAAAGTCGATCAGTAAAATTAATCAACACAAAATGACTGTAGTCTTTCATATATATATATATATATATATGGGGAAACCACCATTTGTTCCAGTGTGCTTTTAACCACTCAGCCACTGAGAGCATCACAGATCAGCAAAGTTCTACCTACCCTTGTAAGAAATGTACACTTCCTTGTACAAATTTTCTTGAGAGCCCCGTTCATATCCACAATGTAAACAAAGCAATTTTTAAAGAATTAATGGATTTATTTTGAATCTAATATTTTTCTATAACTTCAATGTTATTTTTAATGTATAAATTTGAGAGAGATGACCCATTTTTATTTTATTTTAAACAAAT